AAAATTTCCCTTAAGGGAAATTTTTCATTAGTAAAGGTAATTTACAAAATTTTTAAAAATTACTGTTTTTGAAAGAAACTAAAGAAAAAAAGTATAAAAATTAGGGAAATTTGGCTTAAAACTAAAATTTCCCTTATAAGGGAAATTTTTTTCTATGAAGGAAATTCTAAAATTATGGCTGAAATTCGTTTAAAAAATAAATATTATTGATAAATAAGGGAAAAAAGTAAGAAATTAACTTCCTAACCAAATATCCCTTAAAGGGAATTTTTTTTAAAAAAAGGGAAATTTATATTTTAATATAAAATTTTTGTTTATTATAAAAAATTATTTGGAAATAAGTTAAAAAATAATAAAAATTCCTTAGAAATAAAATTTCCCTTAAGGGAAATTTTTTATTAGTAAAGGAAATTTACAAAATTTTTCAAAATTTCCGTTTTAGAAACAAACTAAAGCAAAAAAGTATAAAAATTGGCGAAATTTGGCTTAAAACTAAAATTTCCCTTATAAGGGAAATTTTTTCCAAGGAGGGAAATTTTTATTTTGATACAAAAAATTTTTATGTTAAAGAAATTTAATTGGAAATGTATTAAAATTTAAATAAAATTCCCTTAAAATAAAATTTCCCTTAAGGGAATTTTTTCATAAATAGGGGAAATTTAAATTTTAATGTAAAATTTTTCATTATTAAAGAAAATTCGTTGGGAATATGAAAATAACTAATAAAAATTCTTTTGAAATAAAATTTCCCTTAAGGGGAAATTTTTCATACATAGGGGAAATTGGCTAAAATTTTCAAAATTTCTGTTTAAAAACAAACTTTTGCTTACTAGATATTTTTCTTGTAGAATATTAAAGATTAATTAAATATATCAAATAAATGCTTGTGTCTTAAGTCTTTTGTTTCATAAAAGTTTAAGAAAATTCCAAAATAAGTTTGTATCTTAAGTCTTTTCTAAAATGGTTAAAATGTCATGTTCGTATCTTAAGTCTTTTGTTTGAGAAGTTTAAACATCAAGTTTGACTCTTCAATTTCTATGAATATTCAAACTTAAAGTATGGGTCTTAAGTCTTTTAAACCCATGAATATAAAATTCAAGTTTGTGTCTTAATTCTTTCGAATCTAACTGATTATTAACAAATTGATAAAAAGAACATTTTAATTATTTTATTTATCTCTTTATGTTTTTTTCTTAATACCAGGTCGGTCACATAAAAACTAAAAATAATGAATACTACATTGAGCCATCAAAAAATCATGCAGCCCACAACATCAACGGACATCCGCATGTTGTATTTCAAAGATCGTCTGTTAAGGAAAAGGTAATTACACAAATTTACATTAAAATTAAAAACCAAACACACACTCGCACTCACACAAAGCCATAACAAGTTGTTTGAGAAAAAAAAGAAGAAAATTAAGGTGGGCTGTGTAATTGTGAATGGATGAATGAATAAATAAATAAATGAATGGTTGGATGATGGAAAAAAATACACACACACACTCACCTAATAGGCAGGAAGGTTGACAGACACTAAAGAAATAAATGAATGGACGGACTGGCAGACAGACAGACATACAAAGAAACAGACCAAGTCTTAATAAAATTGGCAGACAAATTGCAACAACCCACTATTGTAAAATAAATAAATAACTACGAAAACAAATAAACAAACAAAAAATCGTACATTTGTCCGAAATAAGTGAGGAAATCGCACGAAAAGAAAAAATTGTCAACACTCACATGCAAATAAGAAAAATAAATTGAAAATAATTTTATGCCAAGATTTTGTTTGTCTTTAAGAAATAAAACTACACTTTGAGTTTTTCTGTATAAGAAGCTTTGCTTAAGAAGTTTAGAACAAAAATTATTTTTACAAAAAACTTTAAACACAATACCCATTGTAAGGAAAAGCTCAAACAAAAATATCTTAACCATAAAAAAATTCTCATAAAAAGTTTTTCACACCACGATTTCTTACAAAAAAGTTTTTGAGTAAAAGCTTTTTAACCCAAAGCTTTTATGTGAAAAAATTCTCAACATAAAGCTTTAAAATACAAAAAGCTTTTTCACATATAACTTTGTTGCGAAAAGAGCTTTTTTATAAAAGATTAACAAACTAATATTTATTAAAAAAGCTTTCTGTTGCAGAAATATTTTTTAAAGAAAAGAGTGTCATTTTCTTAAATTTAAAGTTTCCAAAAAGCTTTTATCAGAAATACATTTTTCGGATATTTTTTTGTAAAAAGAATTTTTAAAGACTATTTAAAAATATTAAAAAAAAGTTTTTTTATTAAAAGCTTTTTCACAAAACTATAAATTAAATAATTTTTTTAAAGGATTTGTTTCGAAAAAAGCTCTTCCTTCTTTTACCTTCCCTTCTAAAAACTTAAAAGCAATTAAACTTTTAACAAAAATCGTTTCTCAAAAAAAGCTCATTCTAAAAAAGTTAAAAGTTATTTTGTCAAAAACGTTTTAATGTGTAAAAAGCTTTTATCTCAAAAAAGTTTTTTTGACAAAATGATTTTGAACGAAAATTTTTTGGTGTAAAAAGCTTTTAAATAAGAAGATTTAAAAAAAAAGTTTTTATATGAAAACTGTTTTTTAAGGAAAAAATTTGATGAAAAAGCTTTTTTAAAATAAAAAGCTTTTTTAAAATAAAAAGGTTTTATATAAATAACAATTTATGTGAAAAATCATTTTAAAGAAAAGCTTTTATTTGAAAAAGCTTTTAAACAAAAAAAATTTTTGATGATAGTTTCATGTTAAAAACACCTTTTAAATAAATGTTTTCAAAAAGTTAAGAAAAGCTTTCTTACAAAAAAAGAATGCGAAAAAGCTTTTTGACAAAAAACTATTATTTGAAGAAGCTTTTTAACAAAAAATATTTTTTGATGAAGAAAGCTTTATGTTAAAAAAGACCAAAAAAATATTATTTAAAGAAGCTTTTTAACAAAAAAATATTTTTTGAAAAATGTTTTTATAAAAATGGTTTCAAAAAGTTAAGAAAAGTTTTCTCACTTAAAAAATAAAAAAAAAATAATTTTTCACAAAAATATTTTTAATAAAAACTAAAAAAAAAATATAAAATTCACGAAGAGTTTTATACTAAAGAGCTTTTCTTTGAAAAATCGTTTCTAAGGAATAAAGCTTTTACAAAAAAGCTATTTATGAAAAAGCTTTCTATAAAAACCTTTTATGAGAAAAGGTTTTTATGAATAATGCGTTTTCATAAAAAGCTTTTTTATTAAAATATTTTATAAAATAAGCTTTTCTAAAAAAAGCTTTACTTATAAAAAATTTTTTATAGAAAAGCTCTTTTGGTAAGAAGAATATTTTAAGTAAACCGTTTCGTAAAAACTAGCATAAAAGCTTAAATTTTTATAAAAATAAGCTTTTTTTTAAAAGAAAGCTTTATCTCAAAAAGCTTTTCTGCTATTTTTATCCGAATCGGTTTTGCTTAAAATATTTTTATTTTCAAAAAAGCTTTTCTGTAAAAAGTTTATATAAAAAGCTTTTTATGAGAAAAACTTCTTTGAAAAAATTTAAGGAAAATAAGCTTTTCTGCGATTTTTTACGCTTTTTGATTAATAAGAAATTTTGTTAAAAAGCTTTTTCATAAAAAGTTTATATAAAAAGCTTTTCTATAAAAAGTATATATAAAAAGCTTTTCTATAAAAAGTTTATATAAAAAGCTTTTTATGGAAATAAAATTTGTATGAAAATAATTTTTTCTATAAAGAAAGCTTTATCTCTTTTCTGTGAAAAATTTTGCTTAAAAAGTTTTTCTGTGACAGTTTAACTAAAGATTTTTGTAAAAATTATTTTTTATGACAATTTCACCTCAAAATCATAATTTAACTATTCAAAATGTCCTCTATTTTTTTCTCTCCCTGTATAAACAGTCAACGAATCACAACAACACTAACAAGAATAAGAAACCACATAAACGCAGGCAGGAGCAACATAAATTGCAGCAAAACGATGGAAAGAAGCCAAAGAAGGCTTTAAGTAATTGTGGTACTAAAGAACCCAAAAGACGCATTGAAGCTCGTTTAGTGGAATGGCAACCTCAAGGAAAGGTGAGTAGGTGCATGCATTACAATGAATGAGATTGTTTTTTTATATATGAATTTATGATAATTTCTGTTGTTTTGTGTTATTTGCTTTTAAAATTAAATTGTATGAATGACAAATAAACAACAATATAATGATAAAATAAACTTAATTATATGCAGGTAAAAATTCAAGGTGGCAGAAAAATACGTAGACTACGTCATCAGCATCAGCATGAAAATCAACAGCAGAAATCTCAATATAAATATCAAACTACAACAACGACGGATGTTAAACACCAAAAATATCATCAGAAGAAACATGACTACAACCACAGGGAAAACCAAGACATCTTATCATCATCTACATCAACAGCAGCATCATCTGAGCAAACTGTTGCTTTTGCGCCACAACCACAAAAACAGAAACAACATAAACAGCATCATCATCAACAACATCATTTAAAACCAGAGTTTCATTTACAGCAACAACAACCGTCACCATTAGCATCCCATGCCAACAGCCATCAACGTAAGAAACGTTCAATTAGCAGCCCACGACATGTAGAAACTCTTATCGTTGCCGATTCTACAATGGTTGGATTTCACGAAGAAATCGAAACTTATCTTTTGACCATAATGAATATGGTATCCGCTCTCTATAAGGATCCCAGTATTGGTAATGCCATTGAAATTGTTGTGGTTAGAATTATACTACTTCACGATAATGAGACACATCCAGATTTGAATCTAACACAAAATGCCCAACAGAATTTAGATACATTTTGTAGGTGAGTTGTGGAAAAAGTACATTTGCATAAACTTTAGAAAAGGACTTAAAAAGGAAGTGTTTGTAGGAAGACAGATTTGCTAGAGATGTAAGAATAAATTCACTCTGTTTTTCTAAAGAACTCCCCCTTAATACTGTCTTTATTTTAGGCGCCAGTTATAAATATCTGCCATGTTATAGCTTTAAGCTTTAAAAGTAATTGTGTGCTTATTCTTACATAGAATATAATAAATGTTCCTTACTCTATGTGTATACTTTACATATTTCATTGATGCTGGCAAATTGATAAGATAATTTTAGCAAAAAAAAGAAAACTCCTTAGGAAGTTTTAGCATAAAATTCTATTAATAGTTAAATAGTTCATGATTAATATGTTTCTTATGGAAATTAAATGTGCTTTTTTTGGTTTTATTTTCAGTTGGCAACATAAATTGAATACCGAAAATGAATTAGATCCTCAGCATCATGATGTGGCAGTTTTGATAACACGTAAAAATATTTGTGGCAATAATTGTATGTAAGTATAATTTATTAAAGGAATTTTAAAAATTTAATAAAAATAAATAAACAAACTTTTTCCTAAAAAGAATTTTGTTATTAAAAACTATTTTACAAAAACAAGAGAAAATGTTTTTTATTTTTATGACCATAATCTTTTCTATAAAATAAGCTTTATCTCAAAAAGCTTTTCTGCGATTTTTTACTAAAGGGTTTTGCTCAAAAGTTTTTCTTTTCAAAAAGATTTTTCTATAAAAAGCTTTTTATGAGAAAATGTTTTTTAATTTTTATGACAATAATCTTTTTATAAAAGAAGCCTTATCTCAAAAAGCTTTTCTGCGATTATTTACGAAACGGCTTTGCTTAAAAAGTTGTTATATTCAAAAAAGCTTTTCTATAAAAAATGTTTTAGAGACAAACTTGAAAATTTTTTTTTATAAAAAACTTTTTCGCAAAAACAATTAAAATTATTTTTCTCTGACAGCTTTTTACCACTAAAAACCTTTCAGAAAATGTCTCAAACACGATTATACTAAAAAGCTTTTACAGAAAGCATATACATATATAAATAGGTTAAAAGCTTTTCCATTTTTTCACAATAAGCATGAATAAGAATGATCCACAAAATGCTTAATAACTATTTCAACAAAAAGCTTTAAAAATCAGATACAAAAAGTTTAAAAAGCTGTTTCCACAAAAAGCATGAAAATGATTTTTAACAAAAAGTTAAAAAAAAACTTTTTCCATAAAAAGTTTAAGAAAAGCTCTTTACCATAAAAAGCTTTTCCATAAAAATTGTACAAAAGATTATTCCATAAAAATGAAAAAAAGTTTTTTTTTTTTTTCAAAAAAAATCTCAAAAAACATGAAAATAATTTTTAACAAAAAGCTTAAAAAAGCTTTTTCCATAAAAAGCGTAAAAAAGCCTTTTCCATAAAATCTTAAGAACACTTTTACCATAAAAAGCGTAAGAAAGCTTTTTCCATAAAAAAACTTAAAACTTCCAGAGAAAACTTAAAAAAGCTATGGAAGAAGCTTTTTTAAGCTTAAAAAATATGTTTTCTCAAAAAGTATGAAAATATCTTTTAACAAAAAGATTAAACAATATTTTTCTACAAAAAACTTAAAAAAACTTTTTCCATAGAAAGCTTAAAAAAGTTCCCACAGAAATCTTAAAAAATCTTCTTCCATAAAAATGTTTTCTCAAAAAGCCTTAAAACTATTTCTTGAACAAAAAGCTCAAAATTGAACAAAAAGGCTAAAAAGCCATTATAACAAAACCATTAAAAAGGCATTCTATGATAAAAGTTTAAAAAGCTATAAAAAAAAGCTTAAAAGGATTTTTCAATTCTACATTTTATTTAATTTATTTTTTATTTCTTATTTATTCAAAGGACTCTGGGTTTGGCTAATGTCGGTGGAATGTGTAAACCGAAACAATCGTGCAGTGTTAATGAAGACAATGGCATTATGTTGTCACATACCATTGCTCATGAATTGGGACATAAGTAAGTACAAATATTAAAAAAGAATAAAAATAAACTCACCATTTAGAAACAATTTTTTGAACTTCAGACTGAAAATATAAGAATTAGAATAAATTAGCAAAACAAGTAGTTAAATATATAATAGAAATATAAAGTCTAAGCTTTCTCACTATATCAAAGAAAATCAGTCTTTTTCTTAGAAAATCTAACTCTACCTAACTGCCATAATCATGCAATTTGCAATCCAGATCAACTATATGTGTATTAAGTCATACTTTATTTTAACACCACAAATCTGTCGCTCCCCTATAACAGACATATTTTAATAAATCAAATAGACAGACCCCCCGCCTGAGCTAATTGACTTCTGTGTTTACAAAATATTTAAATTTTCTGTTTTTTTTTTGCTTTCAAATGAAGTCTCATTTGATTAATTATTAAAAATAATGCAATTTTTCATATTAAATAAAAACTAAATGTATTTTTAAGTTGAAATATAAATTATCTCCAGCTATCACATCAAAGAAAAACAAATCATAAATCTTGTTAAATATTTACATGCAATTCAAGGGAAATTCTATACAAAATAAACAAATTTAAATGATAACAGTTTAATAAGAAACAATTGCAGGTATGAGAAAATAAATATTTAATATTAACAATTAAAACACGTTAATACTATCGATGAAAGTCATTTGTAATTATCGAATAATTTAAATTAATTAAGGCTTGTTTTAGTTGTTTTTAAATTATATTTAACTAGTTGTTATTAGCAAGTTTTAATGGGTCTAAATAATAAAGATTAAGTTGAAAACAACATTAAAATAAATATCATATGTAATAAATACCAAAGTTATAAGATAATAGTCTACATTTAAAACTTACTTAAGTACTTCTAAATTAAATCATGAAATCGGTATCAAGATATAGTCGTTGTCAATTGTTAATATACAACATGAATTGAGTTGTCACTTCGAAATTAAAACGAGTTAAATCGACAATTAGAAACTCTAATCCATCTAGTATATTGGACAAAACAGAACTAGAACAGAACTAGAACAGAACTAGAACAGAACTAGAACAGAACTAGATCAGAACTAGAACAGAACTAGAACAGAACTAGAACAGAACTAGAACAGAACTAGAACAGAACTAGAACAGAACTAGAACAGAACTACAACAGAACTAGAACAGAACTAGAACAGAACTAGAACAGAACTAGAACAGAACTAGATCAGAACTAGAACAGAACTAGAACAGAACTAGAACAGAACTTAGAACAGAACTAGAACAGAACTAGAACAGAACTAGAACAGAACTAGAACAGAACTAGAACAGAACTAGAACAGAACTAGAACAGAACTAGAACAGAACTAGAACAGAACTAGAACAGAACTAGAACAGAACTAGAACAGAACTAGAACAGAACTAGAACAGAACTAGAACAGAACTAGAACAGAACTAGAACAGAACTAGAACAGAACTAGAACAGAACTAGAACAGAACTAGAACAGAACTAGAACAGAACTAGAACAGAACTAGAACAGAACTAGAACAGAACTAGAACAGAACTAGAACAGAACTAGAACAGAACTAGAACAGAACTAGAACAGAACTAGAACAGAACTAGAACAGAACTAGAACAGAACTAGAACAGAACTAGAACAGAACTAGAACAGAACTAGAACAGAACTAGAACAGAACTAGAACAGAACTAGAACAGAACTAGAACAGAACTAGAAACAGAACTAGACAGAACTAGAACAGAACTAGAACAGAACTAGAACAGAACTAGAACAGAACTAGAACAGAACTAGAACAGAACTAGAACAGAACTAGAACAGAACTAGAACAGAACTAGAACAGAACTAGAACAGAACTAGAACAGAACTAGAACAGAACTAGAACAGAACTAGAACAGAACTAGAACAGAACTAGAACAGAACTAGAACAGAACTAGAACAGAACTAGAACAGAACTAGAACAGAACTAGAACAGAACTAGAACAGAACTAGAACAGAACTAGAACAGAACTAGAACAGAACTAGAACAGAACTAGAACAGAACTAGAACAGAACTAGAACAGAACTAGAACAGAACTAGAACAGAACTAGAACAGAACTAGAACAGAACTAGAACAGAACTAGAACAGAACTAGAACAGAACTAGAACAGAACTAGAACAGAACTAGAACAGAACTAGAACAGAACTAGAACAGAACTAGAACAGAACTAGAACAGAACTAGAACAGAACTAGAACAGAACTAGAACAGATCTAGAACAGATCTAGAACAGAACTAGAACAGAACTAGAACAGAACTAGAACAGAACTAGAACAGAACTAGAACAGAACAGAACTAGAACAGTACTAGAACAGAACTAGAACAGTACTAGAACAGAACTAGAACAGAACTAGAACAGACCTAGAACTGAACTAGAACAGATCTAGAACAGAACTAGAACAGAACTAGAACAGAACTAGAACAGAACTAGAACAGAACTAGAACAGAACTAGAACAGAACTAGAACAGAACTAGAACAGAACTAGAACAGAACTAGAACAGAACTAGAACAGAACTAGAACAGAACTAGAACTGAACTAGAACTGAACTAGAACTGAACTAGAACTGAACTAGAACTGAACTAGAACAGAACTAGAACTGAACTAGAACAGAACTAGAAGTGAACTAGAACAGAACTAGAACAGAACGAGTACAGAACTAGAACAGAACTAGAACAGAACTAGAACAAAACTAGAACAGAACTAGAACAGAACTAGAACAGAACTAGAACAGAACTAGAACAGAACTAGAACAGAACTAGAACAGAACTAGAACAGAACTAGACATAACTAGAATAGAACTAGAACAGAACTAGAACAGAACTAGAACAGAACTAGAACAGAACTAGAACAGAACTAGAACAGAACTAGAACAGAACTAGAACAGAACTAGAACAGAACTAGAACAAACAAGAACGGCAAGCATAATCATTTCTGGAAATTTAAATGTTATCTATAGAGTGCATATAAAAATAAATTACTTATAGAGTTAAATATGTAACATTACGTCAATTCTAAAAACACTTTAGCAATAGAACATGATTAAATTAATTCAGTATAATTCTGTCCACATTGATTAGCAATAAATCAAAGGGGAACCCATTTAATACATTGATAAATACGAGTATGAATAATAAATTTAATTCAAATCAAGTTATCCCAGTTTTAAACCATAGAAAAGCTTTAGGTTCGAATTTCTATCATAATTTTATCTTAATGTAGGGTTTATTTAATTCACCTTTATATCTGCCCTCTGTTATAGCAAAACGACAACAACAAATCATATTACAAAAACTCTAATAACATTTGATCTAAATTCTAATTAAATTGCGTTTGAAAAATGGCTTGTTTATCTTTAGTCATTTATTACAATATAATTGTTGTTGCTGTTAACGTTGTTATTGCCATTGTATAAATTATAATTTTTTAACTACCGTGAATAAATAATTAAATTGTATGGCATGTTTAGACACAAATGTATGAATATTGACTTCAAACACGAATATGATTACGACAATATGAATATTTAAAAGTTCTTATAAGTATGTATGTATGTGTGTATGAATGTACAATAATAAAAACAAATACACTACGAGCTCATGACTGTATGACCAACTAAACTGAATGACAAACTTGTGGAGGGACAGACGAATTGAATGAAATCGTTTAAAACATGAATCGCCGCCACCAGGCATAGAAAACCAAGCAGTCTAGCTAGAAAATTATCACAAAATAACAACAACAAAAACGACAACAGCAAAATGTTAATGACAACAACATTAGCAACAACAACAACGATAATGAATACAACAATTAAGTTGTTTTCTATTAATCGAGAGACTTTTTAGAATTATTACATTGAACACGGTAGACTAACCGGCACTAGTTTTATTATTCACCAGCTACAAAAAAAATTATAAAAAATCCCACACATTTTATTGCATTTTCAATATTCATTTACGTACGTATTATTTTGCACTGGTTCTCGTTAGCATGTAAATATGTATTAAGTACGTTTGTATGATTGTGTTCTCATTTGTATTTTGTATGAATATTAAATAAAATGCTCCGTTTGTATGAACTTAAACTTGTTAAATAAGAGAAGTAAGTTAAGGCTAATACTTACTACTAGAACTGAACTAGAACTGAACTAGAACTGAACTAGAACTGAACTAGAACTGAACTAGAACTGAACTAGAACTGAACTAGAACTGAACTAGAACTGAACTAGAACTGAACTAGAACTGAACTAGAACTAGAACTGAACTAGAACTGAACAAGAACTGAACTACTAGAACTGAACTAGAACTGAACTAGAACTGAACTAGAACTGAACTAGAACTGAACTAGAACTGAACTAGAACTGAACTAGAACTGAACTAGAACTGACTAAACTGAACTACAACTGAACTACAACTGAACTACAACTGAACTAGAACTGAACTAGAAATGAACTAGAAATGAACTAGAACTGAACTAGAACTGAACTAGAACTGAACTAGAACTGAACTAGAACTGAACTAGAACTGAACTAGAACTGAACTAGAACTGAACTAGAACTGAACTAGAACTGAACTAGAACTGAACTAGAACTTACCTAGAACTGACCTAGAACTGAACTAGAACTGAACTAGATACTGAACTACAACTGAACTAGAACTGAACTAGAAATGAACTAGAAATGAACTAGAACTGAACTAGAACTGAACTAGAACTGAACTAGAACTGAACTAGAACTGAACTAGAACTGAACTAGAACTGAACTAGAACTGAACTAGAACTGAACTAGAACTGAACTAGAACTGAACTAGAACTGAACTAGAACTGAACTAGAACTGAACCTAGAACTGAACTAGAACTGAACTAGAACTGAACTAGAACTGAACTAGAACTGAACTAGAACTGACTAGAACTGAACTAGAACTGAACTAGAACTGAACTAGAACTGAACTAGAACTGACTAGAATGACTAGAACTGAACTAGAACTGAACTAGAACTGAACTAGAACTGAACTAGAACTGAACTAGAACTGAACTAGAACGAACTAGAACTGAAACTAGAACTGAACTAGAACTGAACTAGAACTGAACTAGAACTGAACTAGAACTGAACTAGAACTGAACTAGAACTGAACTAGAACTGAACTAGAACTGAACTAGAACTGAACTAGAACTGAACTAGAACTGAACTAGAACTGAACTAGAAACTGAACTAGAACTGAACTAGAACTGAACTAGAACTGAACTAGAACTGAACTAGAACTGAACTAGAACTGAACTAGAACTGAACTAGAACTGAACTAGAACTGAACTAGAACTGAACTAGAACTGAACTAGAACTGAACTAGAACTGAACTAGACTGAACTAGAACTGAACTAGAACTGAACTAGAACTAACTAGAACTGAACTAGAACTGAACTAGACTGAACTAGAACTGAACTAGAACTGAACTAGAACTGAACTAGAACTGAACTAGAACTGAACCAAAACTGAAGAGGAACTGGTCTGCAATTGAATTGAACTTTTATAAAAGATTTTGAAATATCCACTATTTCAAAATTTTAATCCCCACGTTTGAAGACTTTACCTTAGTATTCTTCCCCTTGCTACAAATGATTTGCTTATTATGCACTTGTTGCATAAATACAATAAATTTATATATAATAAATCTTGGCATTTTACCTCCTAACGTAACTGCACAGATAAACAATTGAAAGAGTAAAAAACTAACAACAACAAAAGACAAATTGTTATATATTTCGTATTTCACCTTAAGCTTTACTTTTCTTTAATTATATAAAGACTGGTCTTTTATGCAATAATGACATTACAAAGTGGGTGTATATATTGCCTCAAAGAGGTCAGTCGCAATATTAAAACGGGGTTGTAAATATGTAGTTTTTTTTAATTACACATAAATTCTGAAACAATGTTACAAAAATTACCTAAAATCAATTTAATAGCTTAATAAAATTTATAAAAAAAATCAATTTAAAAACAATAGCAATCAATGCAAAATGTGTAAATTATTGCAAAATTTTAATAAACAAAAAAATAAATTAGAACGAATTACTAGGTAATGGAAGTGAATAAGGTGTCACTGTGTGGTTGTGAGCGAAATACAATTCATTCATTAAAAAAATATTGAAATATTTTTTTGGACTTTAGATTTTACTATTTTGCCTACAACTCTTGTAATTTATGTATGAGCGTGTAATTTACAATTTTACGTTTGTTGTTTTGGATTTTTCTTTATTTTGAACTGTGTTTGTGTGTCACTTAAGTTTATTTCCGTTTAAGTGTGGGCTGTTTCTTTTAAATACAACTCCACGCATTCAACTTATAAGTAGTATCCTCATGTAGTACGTTTAACCAACCTCCTCCAGTTTAGTTTAGTTTGTTGCCATTATGATGTCTGCTACAACAAAAAAGCACTACAGGTGGTACAACTTCCACCAGATATCTAAATCTATAGCTGCTCTTAAGTGTGTTAAGATATACATATTGTTTACATTATACATTTGTATCAAAAGTAGTTTTTTTTTTTTGTTTCATTCAAGTGCTACTTGATTTTGTTTCAAAACTAAAGTAAAACAAAATCACAAAATCCAACACAACAGAAATCTGGCTATCATTATTAAAGAGTTATGTTTATTTTTTAGTTTTTTTTTTTTTTTTGTTATTTTATTTGAATTCAGCGACAAGTGTTTGTTTGGTGTTCGTTCACTATTGACTGTGCATAATATTTAAATTAATTATAAGTAAATGTTTATTCGATGATTGATCTGATAATAGCATTAGTTTGACAGTTACTTTTTCGTGTTGTTGCTGAAGTTTAGTCAAATACACTTGTAAGCTGTTTTTTAACAAATCAATTTATTTGATTTGATATTTTGATATATTATGTTGTTAACAATTATGACATCAAGTTTCATTCATGTTGTAAAATGCGTAAAATTATGGATATTGAAATATTTAAATCACCGCACATTTAATGGTTTTAAAAATTTGAACACAACTAGAGTTCTAGGTAAGAAGACTAGTTTAGTTCAAGTTCAGTTCTAGTTCAGTTCTAGTTCAGTTCTAGTTCAGTTCAAGTTCAGTTCTAGTTCAGTTCAAGTTCAGTTCTAGTTCAGTTCTAGTTCAGTTCCAGTTCAGTTCTAGTTCAGTTCTAGTTCAGTTCTAGTTCAGTTCTAGTTCAGTTCTAGTTCAGTTCTAGTTCAGTTCTAGTTCAGTTCTAGTTCAGTTCTAGTTCAGTTCTAGTTCAGTTCTAGTTCAGTTCTAGTTCAGTTCTAGTTCAGTTCTAGTTCAGTTCTAGTTCAGTTCTAGTTCAGTTCTAGTTCAGTTCTAGTTCAGTTCTAGTTCAGTTCTAGTTCAGTTCTAGTTCAGTTCTAGTTCAGTTCTAGTTCAGTTCTAGTTCAGTTCTAGTTCAGTTCTAGTTCAGTTCTAGTTCAGTTCTAGTTCAGTTCTAGTTCAGTTCTAGTTCAGTTCTAGTTCAGTTCTAGTTCAGTTCTAGTTCAGTTCTAGTTCAGTTCTAGTTCAGTTCTAGTTCAGTTCTAGTTCAGTTCTAGTTCAGTTCTAGTTCAGTTCTAGTTCAGTTCTAGTTCAGTTCTAGTTCAGTTCTAGTTCAGTTCTAGTTCAGTTCTAGTTCAGTTCTAGTTCAGTTCTAGTTCAGTTCTAGTTCAGTTCTAGTTCAGTTCTAGTTCAGTTCTAGTTCAGTTCTAGTTCAGTTCTAGTTCAGTTCTAGTTCAGTTCTAGTTCAGTTCTAGTTCAGTTCTAGTTCAGTTCTAGTTCAGTTCTAGTTCAGTTCTAGTTCAGTTCCAGTTCAGTTCTAGTTCAGTTCTAGTTCAGTTCTAGTTCAGTTCTAGTTCAGTTCTAGTTCAGTTCTAGTTCAGTTCTAGTTCAGTTCTAGTTCAGTTCTAGTTCAGTTCTAATTCAGTTCTAGTTCAGTTCTAGTTCAGTTCTAGTTCAGTTCTAGTTCAGTTCTAGTTCAGTTCTAGTTCAGTTCTAGTTCAGTTCTAGTTCAGTTCTAGTTCAGTTCTAGTTCAGTTCTAGTTCAGTTCTAGTTCAGTTCTAGTTCAGTTCTAGTTCAGTTCTAGTTCAGTTCTAGTTCAGTTCTAGTTCAGTTCTAGTTCAGTTCTGTTTAGTTCAGTTTCTAGTTCAGTTCTAGTTCAGTTCTAGTTCAGTTCTAGTTCAGTTCTAGTTCAGTTCTAGTTCAGTTCTAGTTCAGTTCTAGTTCAGTTCTAGTTCAGTTCTAGTTCAGTTCTAGTTCAGTTCTAGTTCAGTTCTAGTTCAGTTCTAGTTCAGTTCTAGTTCAGTTCTAGTTCAGTTCTAGTTCAGTTCTAGTTCAGTTCTAGTTCAGTTCTAGTTCAGTCTAGTTCAGTTCTAGTTCAGTTCTAGTTCAGTTCTAGTTCAGTTCTAGTTCAGTTCTAGTTCAGTTCTAGTTCAGTTCTAGTTCAGTTCTAGTTCAGTTCTAGTTCAGTTCTAGTTCAGTTCTAGTTCAGTTCTAGTTCAGTACTAGTTCAGTTCTAGTTCAGTTCTAGTTCAGTTCTAGTTCAGTTCTAGTTCAGTTCTAGTTCAGTTCTAGTTCAGTTCTAGTTCAGTTCTAGTTCAGTTCTAGTTCAGTTCTAGTTCAGTTCTAGTTCAGTTCTAGTTCAGTTCTAGTTCAGTTCTAGTTCAGTTCTAGTTCAGTTCTAGTTCAGTTCTAGTTCAGTTCTAGTTCAGTTCTAGTTTAGTTCTAGTTCAGTTCTAGTTCAGTTCTAGTTCAGTTCTAGTTCAGTTCTAGTTCAGTTCTAGTTCAGTTCTAGTTCAGTTCTAGTTCAGTTCTAGTTCAGTTCTAGTTCAGTTCTAGTTCAGTTCTAGTTCAGTTCTAGTTCAGTTCTAGTTCAGTTCTAGTTCAGTTCTAGTTCAGTTCTAGTTCAGTTCTAGTTCAGTTCTAGTTCAGTTCTAGTTCAGTTCTAGTTCAGTTCTAGTTCAGTTCAGTTCTAGTTCAGTTCTAGTTCAGTTCTAGTTCAGTTCTAGTTCAGTTCTAGTTCAGTTCAGTTCAGTTCAGTTCTAGTTCTAGTTCTAGTTTAGTTCTAGTTCAGTTCTAGTTCAGTTCTAGTTCAGTTCTAGTTCAGTTCTAGTTCAGTTCTAGTTCAGTTCTGGTTCATCTAGTTCAGTTCTAGTTCAGTTCTAGTTCTGTTCTAGTTCAGTTCTAGTTCAGTTCTAGTTCAGTTCTAGTTCAGTTCTAGTTCAGTTCTAGTTCAGTTCTAGTTCAGTTCTAGTTCAGTTCTAGTTCAGTTCTAGTTCAGTTCTAGTTCAGTTCTAGTTCAGTTCTAGTTCAGTTCTAGTTCAGTTCTAGTTCAGTTCTAGTTCAGTTCTCAGTTCTAGTTCAGTTCTAGTTCAGTTCTAGTTCAGTTCTAGTTCAGTTCTAGTTCAGTTCTAGTTCAGTTCTAGTTCAGTTCTAGTTCAGTTCTAGTTCAGTTCTAGTTCAGTTCTAGTTCAGTTCTAGTTCAGTTCTAGTTCAGTTCTAGTTCAGTTCTAGTTCAGTTCTAGTTAAGTTCTAGTTCAGCTCTAGTTCAGTTCTAGTTCAGTTCTAGTTCAGTTCTAGTTCAGTTCTAGTTCAGTTCTAGTTCAGTTCTAGTTCAGTTCTAGTTCAGTTCTAGTTCAGTTCTAGTTCAGTTCTAGTTCAGTTCTAGTTCAGTTCTAGTTCAGTTCTAGTTCAGTTCTAGTTCAGTTCTAGTTCAGTTCTAGTTCAGTTCTAGTTCAGTTCTAGTTCAGTTCTAGTTCAGTTCTAGTTCAGTTCTAGTTCAGTTTAGTTCAAGCTCCTCCCTAGATTCAGTTTAGTTCAGTTATAGTTCAGTTGTCTATTTCGTTCTAGTTCAGTTCTAGTTCAGTTCTAGTTTCAGTTCTAGTCAGTTCTAGTTCATTATAGTCAGTTCTAGTTCGTTCTAGTTCAGTTTAGTTCAGTTCATTCATTCTAGTTCAGTTCTAGTTCCGTTACTAGTTCAGTTCTAGTCAGTTCTAGTCAGTTCTAGTTCAGTTCTAAGTTCAGTTTAGTTCGTCTAGTTCAGTTCGAGTTCAGTTTTAGTTCAGTTCTGTTCAGTTCTAAGTCATTTCTAGTTCCCAGTTCTAGTTACAGTTCGAGTTCAGTTCTAGTTCAGTTTCTAGCTTCAGTTATTAGTTCAGTTCTAGTCAGTTCTAGTTCAGTTCTAGTTCATTCTAGTTCAGTTCTAGTTCAGTTCTAGTTCAGTTCTAGTTAGTTTCTGTTCAGTTCTAGTTCAGTTATAGTTCAGTGATAGTTCATTCTAGTTCATTTTTTAAAATCTGTGAGTCTTAAAAATTCATAATTTTGAGTTGGGGTTCCGCCGAAGTTGTCTTTAATAATTATAATAATATTTATTTCATTTTTATTTTCTTTCCACTTTCAGTTTGGCATGTTTCACGATACTGCAAAATTGGGTTGTCATCGAGAGTGGGCTCTATAGTGCATATAATGACGCCAACATTTGGAGCGGATACTCTCCAAGTTTGTTGGTCAAATTGTAGTCGAAAATTTATTACACATTTCCTAGAGTAAGTAACAAATAAAAATGACTATGATCACAAGTCGACTCCTCATATCAAACTCCCTAATCTTACATACGAGGAGTCTACGAATACGGATTAAATAAATTTTCCTTTCTAATAAATGTAAATCTTTAGTCAAGGTCTGGGTGAGTGCCTAGATGATGAACCTACCGATATGACAGAATATGTCTATCCCGAGGAACTACCCGGTCATCGTTACAGTGCCGAAGTACAATGTCGTTTGCAATACAATGTTACAGACAGTGAAGTGCGTGCCTGTTCCTCCATGAATGAAATCTGTTCAACATTATGGTGTCGTGTTAATGGTGAATGTATTACGAATATGAGACCAACAGCACCAGGAACACCGTGTGGAAATCGTAAGGTTTGTTTTGGTAATTTTCAGTTAAATAGTTTTTTAACAATTTTTGGAAGAAAACTATTTTAATGCAATCTCCTTGTTTTAATTCTCTTTTCAATAGTGGTGTCAAAATGGCAAATGTGTACCAAAGGAATCGCTGCAGAAAATTGATGGCGGTTGGGGTGATTGGTCCGAATGGAGTGAATGTTCACGTTCTTGTGGTGGTGGTGTTTCCATACAACAAAGAGAGTGTGATAATCCTTTACCGGCAAATGGTGGTTCGTTTTGTATAGGCGAGAGGAAAAGGTAGGGGAGGAGTTGTTTTTGGCTTAGATAATTTATGAAATGATTTTATTTTTAAGGTATCAAATATGTAATCCTCATGCTTGCCCCAAAGATGAACCCAGTTTTCGGGCTAAACAATGTGAAAAGTATAATAATAAAGCTTATCAGGGAGAATTCTATAAATGGTTGCCCTATTTCGATAAACGTAAGTATGGATCTAACTAAAGATTTCAGTTATCTAATTGATTGATTGTTTACCTTAATAGAAAACCCTTGTAAACTATATTGTACCGATGAGGATGATACCATCATTGCTAATTGGGGTGATGTGGTTTTGGATGGTACACCCTGTACTTTGGGCACCAACAATATGTGTATTGATGGCATTTGTAGGGTGAGTCCCTTCGGAGAAATCTTATACTTTTAAAAATATGATCAACTAAATATGATTTTCTTTAGAAAGTTGGTTGCGATTGGATTGTTGATTCAGATATGCAAGAAGATCGTTGTGGCGTGTGCGGTGGACAAGGAGATCAATGTAAACCGGTGAAAGCCACCTTCAATGAAACACTAAAGGTTACAGAAGGTTATGTAGAAATTGTAGTGCTGCCAGCAAAAGCACGTCATATAGTCATCAAAGAATTGGGAAATTCACCACATTTTCTGGGCGTGGCCAGAGCAAATAGCAGTTTATTTTATTTGAATGGCGACAGTTTAATATCAATGCCGGGTGAATTTTTAATAGCCGGTGCTGAAAGTTTTTATGATCGCATAGATGATCAGGAGATTATAAAGATTCCACAACCTATACAACATTCCATAGCTATATATGTAAGTTATCGGTTGGACTTAAACTATATTTTAGATAATTAAAATGAGATGATTTCTTTTTCAGATTATTGTTAGAGGTGATGAGCCTAATGAAGGTATTTACTATGAATTTACTTTGCCCGCCTTAAATGTCAGTTCATCCAAACACTTTTTATGGAAATTAAGTGATTGGTCCTCTTGCTCGGTAAGCTGTGGTGGAGGTCTGCAATATCGTGAACCCATTTGTTATGAAAACGGCAAAAGTAAGTTATAATGCTAAAAATGTTTCCCAACTTTTATACTGATTCTTTCTCTAATATCTTAATATAGTGACCCCCGATATAGAGCTTTGTTGGGCCTTTGCTAAAAATGCTCGTCCTTTGCGTTTAACCAAAAAATGCAATGACACGCCTTGTCCAGCCCATTGGCTAACAGGTCCTTGGCAATTTTGCCCGGTAACCTGTAAAAATGCCGATGCACCTTTGCCGGTGCGTCGAAGATCTGTCATGTGTCTAGATCAAAATGATATAGTGGTAGAGGATGACACCTGCAACCCCTTTACGAGGCCAAGCGATACCGAATACTGTGAACATAATTTACCCGATTGTAGTATAAAAGAAAAATTTAAAAAGTTTTTTATTTAGACATTAAAACAAAACCCATACTTTTAAAGAAAATAGTTTAAGTTTTAGTTGCTAAAATAAATATTCCATGTTCGTTTTTTTTAATGATTCAAAATTTCATAAAATCTATTGTAAAATTTGCAAGTCTTAGTTGTAAGGTTTTTCTTACAAATGTAATTTTAAGTATTTAGTTAATAAATATTATTTATTTTATTTATTCTTATTTTTTAGAATATGAAAAACAATGTACTTAATACTTTTAGTTTGTATTTGTTACTAATAATTTGTGTTAGAGAAACTTTTTAAAAAAGTTTTCATTTGTATACTCGTTGTTAGTTGTAAGTTATTTTATATTTTTTACTAATATATCAATTTGTAGCTGTTAAATTGGTCTATTTGTAATTTCCATAGTTTATAGAGTGTAAAATTATGTTTAGGAAAGAAAAGTGAAAAATTAATAAAAATTTTGAAAAATTTGCTAAACAAACTTTAAGGAAACTTGTTTTAATTAAATGTTTAAAAATTCATTAAAAATATTGTCCCTTGAAAGTTCCCATCTTTCTCATCATTCCCTCATCTTCGGATACCCTGGTTTGAAGTAAAATGTATATCTGAGAAAGTATTTTACATTGGGTAGGGCAATGTCTAGAATATAAGATGACTGATACTTTCCAGGATCCTTTAAATACAGAGCATTAACTTAATTCAATTTCGGATATTCTATTCTGAAGTAAAGCATATTCCAAAGAGAACGTTCTGCAACAGTTGAAAAATACAAGTCAAGCGCTACAAGGTCTGTACTTTAAGGAGGCGAAAGGAAAAACATTCCAACCCCTTTTTTCTAAATATAGTCTACAGTCTAGTTTATAGTCTAGTCTATAGTCTAGTTTATAGTCTAGTTTATAGTCTAGTCTATAGTCTAGCCTATAGTCTAGTCTATAGTCTAGTCTATAGTCTAGTCTATAGTCTAGTCTATTGTCTAGACTATAGTCTAGTCTATAGTCTAGTCTATAGTCTAGTCTATAGTCTAGTCTATAGTCTAGTCTATTGTCTAGACTATAGTCTAGTCTATAGTCTAGTCTATAGTCTAGTCTATAGTCTAGTCTATAGTCTAGTCTATTGTCTAGTCTATAGTCTAGTCTATTGTCTAGTCTATAGTCTAGTCTATAGTCTAGTCTATAGTCTAGTCTATAGTCTAGTCTATTGTCTAGTCTATAGTCTAGTCTATAGTCTAGTCTATAGTCTAGTCTATAGTCTAGTCTATATTCTAGTCTATAGTCTAGTCTATAGTCTAGTCTATAGTCTAGTCTATAGTCTAGTCTATAGTCTAGTCTATAGTCTAGTCTATAGTCTAGTCTATAGTCTAGTCTATAGTCTAGTCTATAGTCTAGTCTATAGTCTAGTCTATAGTCTAGTCTATAGTCTAGTCTATAGTCTCTAGTCTAGTCTAGTCTATAGACTAGTCTATAGTCTAGTCTATATTAGTCTATAGTCTAGTCTATAGTCTAGTCTATAGTCTAGTCTATAGTCTAGTCTATAGTCTAGTCTATAGTCTAGTCTATAGTCTAGTCTATAGTCTAGTCTATAGTCTAGTCTATAGTCTAGTCTATAGTCTAGTCTATAGTCTAGTCTATAGTCTAGTCTATAGTCTAGTCTATAGTCTAGTCTATAGTCTAGTCTATAGTCTAGTCTATAGTCTAGTCTATAGTCTAGTCTATAGTCTAGTCTATAGTCTAGTCTATAGTCTAGTCTATAGTCTAGTCTATGTCTAGTCTATAGTCTAGTCTATAGTCTAGTCTATAGTCTAGTCTATAGTCTAGTCTATAGTCTAGTCTATAGTCTAGTCTATAGTCTAGTCTATAGTCTAGTCTATAGTCTAGTCTATAGTCTAGTCTATAGTCTAGTCTAGTCTAGTCTATAGTCTAGTCTATAGTCTAGTCTATAGTCTAGTCTATAGTTAGTCTATAGTCTAGTCTATAGTAGTCTATAGTCTAGTCTATAGTCTAGTCTATAGTCTAGTCTATAGTCTAGTCTATAGTCTAGTCTATAGTCTAGTCTATAGTCTAGTCTATAGTCTAGTCTATAGTCTAGTCTATAGTCTAGTATATAGTCTAGTCTATAGTCTAGTCTATAGTCTAGTCTATAGTCTAGTCTATAGTCTAGTCTATAGTCTAGTCTATAGTCTAGTCTATAGTCTAGTCTATAGTCTAGTCTATAGTCTAGTCTATAGTCTAGTCTATAGTCTAGTCTATAGTCTAGTCTATAGTCTAGTCTATAGTCTAGTCTATAGTCTAGTCTATAGTCTAGTCTATAGTCTAGTCTATAGTCTAGTCTATAGTCTAGTCTATAGTCTAGTCTATAGTCTAGTCTATAGTCTAGTCTATAGTCTAGTCTATAGTCTAGTCTAGTCTAGTCTATAGTCTAGTCTATAGTCTAGTCTATAGTCTAGTCTATAGTCTAGTCTATAGTCTAGTCTATAGTCTAGTCTATAGTCTAGTCTATAGTCTAGTCTATAGTCTAGTCTATAGTCTAGTCTATAGTCTAGTCTATAGTCTAGTCTATAGTCTAGTCTATAGTCTAGTCTATAGTCTAGTCTATAGTCTAGTCTATAGTCTAGTCTATAGTCTAGTCTATAGTCTAGTCTATAGTCTAGTCTATAGTCTAGTCTATAGTCTAGTCTATAGTCTAGTCTATAGTCTAGTATAGTCTAGTCTATAGTCTAGTCTATAGTCTAGTCTATAGTCTAGTCTATAGTCTAGTCTATAGTCTAGTCTATAGTCTAGTATATAGTCTATAGTCTAGTCTATAGTCTAGTCTATAGTCTAGTCTATAGTCTAGTCTATAGTCTAGTCTATAGTCTAGTCTATAGTCTAGTCTATAGTCTAGTCTATAGTCTAGTCTATAGTCTAGTCTATAGTCTAGTCTATAGTCTAGTCTATAGTCTAGTCTATAGTCTAGTCTATAGTCTAGTCTATAGTCTAGTCTATAGTCTAGTCTATAGTCTAGTCTATAGTCTAGTCTATAGTCTAGTCTATAGTCTAGTCTATAGTCTAGTCTATAGTCTAGTCTATAGTCTAGTCTATAGTCTAGTCTATAGTCTAGTCTATAGTCTAGTCTATAGTCTAGTCTATAGTCTAGTCTATAGTCTAGTCTATAGTCTAGTCTATAGTCTAGTCTATAGTCTAGTCTATAGTCTAGTCTATAGTCTAGTCTATAGTCTAGTCTATAGTCTAGTCTATAGTCTAGTCTATAGTCTAGTCTATAGTCTAGTCTATAGTCTAGTCTATAGTCTAGTCTATAGTCTAGTCTATAGTCTAGTCTATAGTCTAGTCTATAGTCTAGTCTATAGTCTAGTCTATAGTCTAGTCTATAGTCTAGTCTATAGTCTAGTCTATAGTCTAGTCTATAGTCTAGTCTATAGTCTAGTCTATAGTCTAGTCTATAGTCTAGTCTATAGTCTAGTCTATAGTCTAGTCTATAGTCTAGTCTATAGTCTAGTCTATAGTCTAGTCTATAGTCTAGTCTATAGTCTAGTCTATAGTCTAGTCTATAGTCTAGTCTATAGTCTAGTCTATAGTCTAGTCTATAGTCTAGTCTATAGTCTAGTCTATAGTCTAGTCTATAGTCTAGTCTATAGTCTAGTCTATAGTCTAGTCTATAGTCTAGTCTATAGTCTAGTCTATAGTCTAGTCTATAGTCTAGTCTATAGTCTAGTCTATAGTCTAGTCTAGTCTAGTCTAGTCTATAGTCTAGTCTATAGTCTAGTCTATAGTCTAGTCTATAGTCTAGTCTATAGTCTAGTCTATAGTCTAGTCTATAGTCTAGTCTATAGTCTAGTCTATAGTCTAGTCTATAGTCTAGTCTATAGTCTAGTCTATAGTCTAGTCTATAGTCTAGTCTATAGTCTAGTCTATAGTCTAGTCTATAGTCTAGTCTATAGTCTAGTCTATAGTCTAGTCTATAGTCTAGTCTATAGTCTAGTCTATAGTCTAGTCTATAGTCTAGTCTATAGTCTAGTCTATAGTCTAGTCTATAGTCTAGTCTATAGTCTAGTCTATAGTCTAGTCTATAGTCTAGTCTATAGTCTAGTCTATAGTCTAGTCTATAGTCTAGTCTATAGTCTAGTCTATAGTCTAGTCTATAGTCTAGTCTATAGTCTAGTCTATAGTCTAGTCTATAGTCTAGTCTATAGTCTAGTCTATAGTCTAGTCTATAGTCTAGTCTATAGTCTAGTCTATAGTCTAGTCTATAGTCTAGTCTATAGTCTAGTCTATAGTCTAGTCTATAGTCTAGTCTATAGTCTAGTCTAGTCTAGTCTATAGTCTAGTCTAATAGTCTATAGTCTAGTCTATAGTCTAGTCTATAGTCTAGTCTATAGTCTAGTCTATAGTCTAGTCTATAGTCTAGTCTATAGTCTAGTCTAGTATAGTCTATAGTCTAGTCTATAGTCTAGTCTATAGTCTAGTCTATAGTCTAGTCTATAGTCTAGTCTATAGTCTAGTCTATAGTCTAGTCTATAGTCTAGTCTATAGTCTAGTCTATAGTCTAGTCTATAGTCTAGTCTATAGTCTAGTCTATAGTCTAGTCTATAGTCTAGTCTATAGTCTAGTCTATAGTCTAGTCTATAGTTAGTCTATAGTCTAGTCTATAGTCTAGTCTAGTAGTCTATAGTCTAGTCTATAGTCTAGTCTATAGTAGTCTATAGTCTATAGTCTAGTCTATAGTCTAGTCTATAGTCTAGTCTATAGTCTAGTCTATAGTCTAGTCTATAGTCTAGTCTATAGTCTAGTCTATAGTCTAGTCTATAGTCTAGTCTATAGTCTAGTCTATAGTCTAGTCTAGTCTAGTCTATAGTCTAGTCTATAGTCTAGTCTATAGTCTAGTCTATAGTCTAGTCTATAGTCTAGTCTATAGTCTAGTCTATAGTCTAGTCTAGTCTATAGTCTAGTCACATTCCATCAGAATCCTATATGTCTGATTATATGTTTTTAAGCTCAATATTGCAGAAAAATCAAAAAGTACTGGTTACAGAAAGTAAAAGTTCCAAAAATCCTTTCCTACAGATTTTCAGCCAAATCCTTAAAAATCTAAGATTTTTACGGTTTTCCATTAAAAATACTATTTTTATATGAAGAACACCCAAAATTCTTTTTTTACTATATTTCCTTATCCGTATAGCTTATGTATTCTTATTTGTAGATATGTAAAGGAAATAATAACATTTTAAAATTTACTTACCTTCTATTACCTCCTTTTCCGCTTGGTTTTATTTAGCTTTTTAAATGTTTTTATTTTAACTTTTATTGCTTTTCCGTACTTTTATACATAAAAACATTTAATCAAACTTTCGCTTCTTGCGCCCTCTACATTTTATTTATTTTACTCTTTTTTCTTTTTCATCGTAAATAAGCTTTGACGAATGCTTATCCAATAACAAAACCATCACATCTTGCTCACTCATGCCTATATACACTTC